ATGAGCATTATATTGAAGAAGATATTCGGGAAGCCCTACAACTGTGGTTCTCAGCATTTTTTTACATCAAGGCCCCCATTGTCAAAGGCAATATTTAAAGGCCCCTATACTATAAAATGTGTATATATTCATTATAAATAATAGCAATCATCATAATTCTGCTTACAGGTGAAATTGTGTGCTTTTTTGATGGTGAATTACTGTGTCCTAAATTAACATCCAAAGATGTTGTTAAATTATTAAATCTTGATAAAAGTTACTTAAATGGTCTCAGAGTGCACTCTGGTGGTTTTGTCTTCATTCATGAGTCAAGTCACCTTTATTTCTATAGCGCTTTTTACCATACATATTGTTTTAAAGCAGCTTTACAGTGATAACAGGAAAATAATGCAACAAAGTTTGTTTCTAGAAGAAAATAGCGTCATGGTCCAGCTTAAGTAAGTTAAGTGATGGTTCATTTTTGTTGTAAAAAAAGTTATTAATTTAGTTAATTTATAGCCGCTCTGGAGAAAACCGTGATGTCATTGTCCAGCTCAGTTCAGTTCTCATATAATGGTGTCAATGCAGGCAGATCAATAATATTGTTGAATATTAAAATGTTCCCAACTAAACAAGCCAAAAGCCGAGGCAAGGAACCAAAACTCCATCAGGTGACAGAATGGAGAAAAGTGTTTTGGCCTGGTGTATAATAAGCAAAGCACAATCTGTTTTCTCAGTTCACTGCATTTAGTCCGTTTAACTCTGAGAAGGCAAAAACAAACTGTGACTAGTCTCTTGGTCTATCTTTGCCATGTAAGTGAGTGAAGCGTCCATTATTCCTCCCTCGGTGGCTTCAACTCATGAGCTCCTCACTGGCCAGACAATTACCATGAATTATCTTCACTTCCAGACAATCAATTAAGAGAATTATTGAACTCCTCTGAAACCTTATCGGTTCTCCCCAGCAGGGCAGCAGTGAAGATAGATCGCAGATTGTGAAACCTCTAAAGACCGACTCTTTATCACTTTGCGTAGGCTACTACCGCATGGGCCTCCAGTCACTCTGCCACAATAGGCTGAACTAAACCTTAACCACCTTTAAAGTAAAGCTTTATGCAATAAACTAAAGTGAACTTCAGGTCCACTGCCAACAACAAAAGATGCCATAGTGGATTGAAATTATATCTAGGCTATTATACAATTTCCCCAATGATTAAAGGGCATTTTAATACATAGCTTGCATTAACTGGATTAGACGCAGACAATAACCACATTAAATACATTGTAGAAAGCTATAGTTGGTGTCTTGGAATAATCTGACATTCAGTTAAACACAAGCAAAAGCACAATGTTGTCATTTCAATCGCATGCACCATCAGTCATTCACAGCAACTCAAAAATGATCATTTACTGCCATCTAGTGATACACATAAATCAAACAGACGAGGTGAAACATTTGTGATACCATATTGCCCTCTTATGGATGTTTTTACTCCTAACAACGGACATTTAACTCTTTTATCGTTTTGTCTCATCTCCAAAAGACTCATAACAACATTTTAACGAAAAGAAAATCAAAAGTAGGCCTACTCACCAAATGTATGGGTTTTATAGATAAAACGACGTATCCACATCCAATCTCGTCTTTGTCCTTCCCTTCACACACACGATCAAGATTCATTAAGGCTTAATTGGAAACAGGTGTATGAGGTTTTTTTGTGTGTTTTTTTGGAGAACTTTTATTTTGCATTAGTTTACATTTTAAATGTCTCGTAGAAAATCAAGAAGCCAAGTTAAAAGCAATGTAGTTTAATAGGTGTACACGAAAAACCGGATGTTTTGCCATCCAATATCTTTTAATTATTCTGACATTACAGAAACATTTTATGAATATTAACAATAAAATAGATTTAATTCCAGAAATAAAAATAAATGCAGTAATATAATATAATAAATACAATACTTTGGGGAAAAAAGAATATAAATAAATATATATTTATATATATTGGAATCCATTTATAAATACATTACCGTAATTATTTTGAATAATTTGGTAATTTGACAAAATAATCAAAAAAAAATCATTTCTATTTTTAATTCTATCACTCTCTGTACTCTCCACCTGTAGCTGGTGTGTGTTGAGCGCACTGGCGCCGTTGTACTGTGGCTGCCGTCGCATCATCCAAGTGGATGCTGCACACTGGTGGTGGTTGAGGAGAGATTCCCTGATATGATTGTAAAGCACTTTGGGTGTACAGTAGTACATATAAGCGCTATATAAATGCCTCATTCATTCATTCATTCAAAACACCATATCTAATAAACAATTTTACTAATTTAACTTACAATTGAATATATATATATATATATATATATATATATATATATATATATATATACACGTGTAAATTAAATATAGCCTACTATATATATAAAATTAACTTATAAATACATTATTTGTTTGAAATGATTTGGTTATTTGTCAAATAAATGTAGCAATATATATTTATATTTTTTAATTCTCCGTTGTACCATATTTTAATAAACTTAATGAACTTTAATGCACCGTGCATGTGAAAAACATTTTTTTTTTCAGTTTCATATTAACAAAAAATAAATAACCATATCTAATAAAAAAAATATTTTTAAACACAAATTTAATAATTTATTTACAATTACATGTGAATTCTTCACTCTTTTACCCAGTTACAAATACACACACAAAAAAGCTTTTGCCTATATATATATATATATATATATATACTGTGAAAAATATATCTATATAGATATTAGAATCAATTTATAAATACATTCATTATTTTGAATAATTTGGTAATTTGACAAAATAATCAAAAACTATTTATTTATATTTTTAATTCTCTGTCCAACCATATTTTAATGAACTGTGCATGAAAAAATATTTTTCCACAGTTTCATATTAACAAAAAATAAAAATGTCTATTCCCCGCACACTTCTTAGAAAGTGTAGTGTGTACTCTGTGCTGCGCTATCATGTAGCGTAGGTCAGGCTCTAGTCTGTAGAATGAGAGAGAGGGAGGGGCGGGGTTTGTTCTGTGCACTTCGCTCGGGGCCGCGCATCAGCCGCTGAGCTGAGCCCAGGACGCGCGCACTTGCTGCTCGTTCTTTGTCCTCCATTGCAGCTGGTGTTCGCAGCTCCGCCGCACAGCGCAGGCCCGAAGTAGCGCAGCCGCTCTGAGGTTAGTGCCCTACCGCGCAATCTCCAGCCATTTCAGCCCCGGCGCAGCCGCACCAAACAACCCGGCAGCGTTTGTCTTTCACACACTCAGATGCAGATCGCGACGATGCGAAACAGAACTCGGGACGATATCGAAAGCATTTGTCAGGATGGCAATTATTATTTACCCCGCTCAAATTTGGGGCAAAATAATCATGGCGCTGTCGCAGGCCTTTGGCCTACTGAATTTAGATGTGCAATCGTAATCGCTCTTGTTTTGTCCAGATGCTAAATGGGTTTTCAGTGCTTGAGAGCTTGTGTTTATATGCTCTTGATCGGGGAATCGGATTTGAATGCATGTTTCATGGCATATTAGCACAGAAGTGTTATCGATCAGTCGAATATTTAAATCGCTTTATACAGAGTCGACAACGGTGCCGGCTAAATTTTATTTAGAAGATAATTTCAGATGTTTTGAAGCTCGTCTGAAATTTTTACTGTCGTGAATGAAATAGCACTTTGAACAGGCTTCAGTGTTTAATGTTTCACTATTACAGTTCGCTCTCTTTACACGTATTATTCACAGTTTGAAAATAACCGCCATTTATGTGTTTGTTATTAATGCTAGAGATTACTAACGTTAGTCTATATCGATTCAGTTATTTTAGATATTCAAACCTACCCTTTATAATGCTAGTTGAAGTGTCTTTTGATATTTGTAAACGTTTTTGGTCTTGGGCATATCATTTGTAACGTTACCGTTTTCCAGAACATAGTGTCAGGGCCGTTGAATTGAACAGAATGATGATGATGATGATGCAGCGCGACGCGAGATTGTGTATTTATCTATGTGGATCATTCGTAGCACCTACGTCATCCTAAGTTATTCCTACATACGTTTTTATTTATTTTTTATTTTAAATCCAAAACGTTTTAATAAATTTAATTCATACTCCTTGCTGTGAGAGAAATGTCATTAGAGTATCTTATTATTCAATAAAACTTAATTAAAAAAATGTTCTCTTTCTGTGTCATTGGGTTTGTCATTGATAAAGCTTTGATTTCTTCCTGTAAATAATTCCTGAGGTATTTATTTACATTATTGTACATTGCTAAATTGTAATATGCACAGCAAAGGTATATGCTGTTAATAATTTTGAATGCGAACATATCCTTTTGGGTAAATACAGAAATCAGTCAGTAGTACAGACTACAGCCAAAACATTATCACTGTAAAAAAAAAAAATAATAATATGTGAAAATTTTGTTTATATGTGATGATTAGTGCCCCCTACTGGAGTGATGTTTAAAGCAATAAAAATAGATGCAGTGCTTTATGAAAATGGTTATTAGAGAACTTTTGTGTGTATAGAAAGGAGACCCTTTTCCTACACATTAAGTGAAAACTACTTAGTTTATACATTACAAATGTCAAATTTTGGGTGGCTGATTCAGACCACTTAATGACATTGAGATCACACTCAGTGGCCCAGTTTACCTGGATTCACCCCAGATTAAATGTTTTGTCATGATGTTTCAATATAAAAGCATATCTGCCAAGACTATACTAATAGAATACCTTGTAAGTCTGATTCACATTACATACTAGTAAAAAGTGATTTTGGTAGCTATTATAAGACAATGTCAGAAGATGATGCCCTCTTAAATTTTTAGTGCATTTTTAAATGCATGTACAAATTAAAATACACTTGCACACACACACATATATTTAAGTTAAACCACCTCAAAATATTAGGTCAATAACTCTTACCCTGACCTTATCTATTAATGTAAGCAAACCAGTTGCTTGTGGAATGTGTGTGTGCTAATATATTGTTTATGTGTGTCTCAGTGTGTTTGAGAGAAACTGTATCGGGTGATGGAAGACCACACGGTGCATCAGACAGAGCACATGACCACTATCGAGGCCCATGCCGTCTCTCAGCAGGTCGGGCAGGTGCATGTCGCCACGTACACAGAGCACGGCATGCTGAGCGCTGATGAGGATTCGCCCTCCTCGCCCGATGATGACGCTTATGATGACTCTGACATCCTCAACTCAACTGGAACAGATGAGGTCACTGCACATCTGGCTGCTGCAGGTCGGTTCCAGCACATTGTTGTTGGGTACTGACTGTGACTAGTGGTGATTACACTGACCACTAGATGGCGAACTTAAACCATAAATTGGCAGCTGTCTTATAGCTTAAGATAGAGCATGGTGCTAGCAATGTCACTCATTGCTTCAATTCCCAGTGAATACACAAACAGTGTATATCCTGAATGATATAGAATGTCTAAAAACAGCTGATTTTATGCCCCTAATTTTTTTTCAGGACCTGTTGGCATGGCAGCAGCCGCCGCTGTAGCAACAGGGAAGAAACGTAAACGGCCGCACATCTTTGAATCAAACCCTTCAATCCGTAAAAGACAACAGACCCGCTTGCTTAGGTGAACTATATTCACAGTATTGTTCAATGAATTGGTATTAAGTATCAGTGGTTTTTACAACATAAAATAATATCTTGATTAAAACAATCAAAACAAATAATTATTTATCTTAGTATTATTCATATGCTATTATAGTATTTATTCATATTTTAAATTAGCTGTTATTTTTATATTTTCAGTTTCACTTGGCTATGTGCTTTTGTCATTTTTATTATCTTTAATAAATATTTCTATTTAGCAGTAATATATTTTTATTTTTAATGTATTTGAGTATTTGATCATTTCAAGTTTTTTAAGTGTATGTTTTTCGTCTAATGTTTATATATTTTTAATTTCAGCTTTATTTCAATTACAAAAAATGATTTTGGTAACACTACAATAAGGTCTCATCTTTTTTAACATTAGTTAATCCATGAACTAACTTGAATTCACAATGAACAATATATTCTTACAGCGTTTATTAACCTACGGTATGTTTATGTTAGTTAATACAAATCTTCATGTTAGTTCACAGTGCTAATGTTAACAGATACAACTTTTGATCTTAGAAATGTATTAGTAAATGTTGAGATTAACATTAACTAAGATTAATAAATGCTGTAGAAGTGTTGTTCATTGTTAGTTCATGTTAACTAAAGTAGTTAACAATGAAATCTTATTGTAAAGTGTTAGCATGATTTTTACGAATTGTAGTTAATAATAACAACACTGACTCTTACTATGTCTGCAGGAAGCTGAGAGCGACTCTAGACGAGTACACGACAAGGGTTGGCCAGCAGGCTATTGTGTTGTGCATCTCTCCCTCTAAACCAAACCCTGTGTTTAGAGTATTTGGAGCGGCGCCATTAGAGAATGTGGTGAGTATTTTTACTGTGCATTTCCTCTTCATAGCATTTGCACTGTTTCTGATTTGACCCTAGTTTTGTTTTGATGTCCTGTGATCAGGTGAGGAAATACAAAAGCATGATTCTGGAGGATCTGGAAAATGCTCTGGCTGAACATGCGCCCCCTGGTGGTGGGGAGCTCACCTCTGAATTGCCTCCACTGACTATTGACGGCATACCAGTGTCTGTGGACAAGATGACACAGGTGGGCACCAGGTGGCACTATGAGCCAGGAATTTTCTGCTTTGCCATGCAAATGAGCTTTTTCTAGACTAGTGCAGCAGCATTTAATCGAGACGAAGAAGTCGTCTCACTTCAACCACTACAGGGCTTTAGCACAGGTTACTTTTACTTTTGGCCTGGTATAAGACCACATAACCAATTCAGCCACTTCATTTACCAGCTAGCCCATTACTCACTGTCCCACATGCTCTGTGCTGATGTCCCTCAGGACAGACACGCCTTGTTTGGGTTGTGGCAGTTGGAGGCAGGTCTGTGCAGGGATCATCAGGTGAGCTTGTACGCGCGAGTAATTATCCGGCACATCGTGGCCGAGCACAGGGGTTTCTGATTGGCTCCCAAGTGGATTAAGAGCAGAGCAGGGGGAGGGAATGGGCAGCTGATCGGGGTGTTTGGGGCGTGAGATTCCTCTTAATTCCTTCGCCATGTAATTAGACCATCTGCACAAACACAAGGAAGAGTCTACAACTCATGATGCCACTGTGGACAATCTGTTACATGACTTTGAACCGTGTACTTAACATCAGTATTTATTAAGTTCAGGTTTTAGCTCTTATCATGATTTATTTATGTACATTGAGATTTTTAAATTGGGTTTTATTAATATATATACACTACCGGGCAAGTTTGGAATTATTACTATTTTTAATGTTTTTGAAAGAAGTCTCTTATGCTCATCAAGCCTGCATTTATTTGATAAAAAAAACAGTAATATTGTGAAATGTTTTTACAATTTAAAATAATGGTTGTTCTATTTGAATATACTTTTAAAATATAATTTATTCCTGTGATGCAAAGCTGAATTTTCAGCATCTTTACTCCAGTCTTCAGTGTCCCATGATCCTTCAGAAGTCATTTGAATATGCTGATTTATTATCAATGTTGGAAACAGTTGTGCTGCTTAATAATTTTTTATAATATTCTTTGATGCATAAAAATTAAATAAAAGAGAAAAAAAGAACAGCATTTATTTAAAATAGAAATCCTTTGTAACAATATACACTATCGTTCAAAAGTTTTGTATTTTTTCGTTGAAAAAATTAACTTGTGTTAAATTGATAAAAAGAAGTGATAATTATTGTTAGAAAATATTTCTATTTTGAATAAATGCTGTTTTGTTCAGCTTTGGATCACAGAAATAAATTATATTTAAAAGTATATTAGAATAAAAAAACATGATTTTAAATTGTAATTTAAAATAATTTTTACAATATTACTGTTTTCTTTCTGTATTTGTGATCAAATAAATGCTGGCTTGATGAGCATAAGAGACTTCTTTCAAAAACATTAACAAAATGTTCACTGGTACTTAAAATGGTATTGGTATTAGTGTAGTGTGTGTGTGTATATATATATATATATATATATATATATAAGTGAGTATACATTTTTCTAGGTATGCTTACATATTTTACAATAAACTTTGAGTGTACTGTTTGAAATACTTTTTTTTTTTTTTATCCTTATCCAGCTATCACAACTGGAAGAATCTTAGAAAGGAATTGGTCAAAAACATGTGACTTTTCAATGAATTAGTTGTATCAGAACTTTTCGCCATGTTGTTGTCTGTCACCGTCCAATGTCAGGCTTACAGGAAGTGTTTGTGTTTGTGACAGTGGGAGGGAGGGAGAAGCTCTTTTGGGAACTGATTTATTCCTCCCAAGCCAAATTTAGCCTGTGATGTGGAGGTGAACAGACGTTGCTACAGAGTGCTGTGCAGTACAATCCCTGGCCTGCCTACGGAATTACCAAGGGCACTGAGGGCACTGGGATAAACTCCACCCTCACCCCCAGGACAGAGCTGTATGGGCTAATGGACTGCCCCATACAACGCAGGTTTTTTTTTTTTTTTTGTCAATGGACTCATTTAGGCAAAAAAAAAGCCCCTTGATTGTCGTGTTAATACCTCAACACTTCCTTACTAACACATATTAGATTACGACTTTAAGCCCATTAAAATACATTTCAAATCGAACCAAAAGCAATATGGCATCATTGCGAAATTCATTTACTGAATTTTCAATTGGTTTTTTCCCCCTTGCATTTATTATTTCCATTTCTTGGTTTTATTGATTTGTATTTATGCAGATATTTTTATTTATCTTTCCTTGCATCTATTTAACCATTCATTGCCATCTTTAAACTTGTAAAGAGACAGCACAGATGCCTTGTTTTTTGTTTTATTTAGTTTTTTACATTAAAGTGGTAGTTATGTGTCAAACAGCAATTGCTTCAGTCTTCAGCGTCACATGAACCTTCAGAAATCATTCTAATGTGCTGATTTGTTGCTCGAGAAGCATTTTTTATCAATATTGAAAACATTTGTGCTGCTTAATATTTTTCTGAAAACCGTAATGCATTTTTTCAGGACTCTGATGAATAGAAAGTTCAAAAGAACAGCATTTATTTCAAATAGAAATCTTGTCAAATTTATTTTAAAAAACAATTGACCCCAAACTTTTGAACAGTAGTGTACCAACCTTAAAAGTGTTAATTTATTTATTTGTTGTCTACATAATCTATAGTGCAGTGGTGTATGTTCCATCTTCTCAATCTCCTCCAGTCAGTGTGCAGTGGAGCCTCACCCATAGATTAATCTTTAAATAGAAACCTAATAGTCTACTTTTAGCTTTTCACAAGCTATACGTGTCGGCAGACTGTCTGTACTCAGTTACAGAAAAAAGGGGAAAATCAATGGCTTGCTGTTTCCAAACTCTCTTCACACAAATTTAATTTTTCCAGAGGCCGTCGTGTGCTCTGCCACTCCCAGTTTAAAATCTCCCACAGTGATTGTGTGCTCTTTGTTGCTTTTTCAGGCCCAGCTCAGAGCGTTCATTCCAGAAATGCTAAAGTATTCCACAGGCCGTGGGAAGCCTGGCTGGGGGAAAGAGAGCTGCAAGCCCATCTGGTGGCCGGAGGACATTCCTTGGGCCAATGTACGCAGTGACGTCCGAACAGAGGAGCAGAAACAGAGGGTAGTGTTGGGGGCTCACACTAGGACTGGGGTATAAAGAAAAAACACTACAGAATATTTTCTATATATCAATATATAGAATATGGTTAAAAATTCAAAACTAAATGTATAAATTTGCTTAAAATGGTAATACATTATATTAAAGTGTGTGTAGATTTTGGTAACGCTTCCTTTTACAGTACAGTACTTACGTGTACTTACAGTGTACTTACCTAGAAAGTACTGGGTAATATAAGGTAAGTACATGGGTTAGGGGTAGGTTCAGCGTTAGTACCTAGTTATTACCCAGTAATTATAATTACTATAATAAGTACATAGTAAGTACATGGGTAACAGGACTGTAAAAGGAAGCGTTACCTAGATTTTATATATATATATATATATATATATATATATATATATATATATATATATATATATATATATATATATATATATATGAAGAAAAATACAGTAGAAATTTAGATTAAAATAAGAATAGGTAATATTTAACCATTTTACATTTACATTTAGTCATTTAGCAGACGCTTTTATCCAAAGCGACTTACATCTGAGGACTAAAGCAAGCGAGTCATCGTGAAGAGGGAAGATATCTTTAAGAGATATTTTAATTTATTAAAATATAGAACAATAACAATATACAGTACTAAACAGCAGTATTTACCAACATATATTTTTACTAAAATATTTTATTCTATGATAAATGCTATGAGTGATGACAAATGAATTGTTGAATCAGCCACACCGTAGTTTTGTCAGCTTTCCACAAAATGGCATCTGAATTGAAGCAAATGAGCTAAAGCTTGCATCATCTTGATTTATCGAGAGCTTATTTCCGTTGAAAACAGGTGTCATGGACGCAAGCCCTGAGGACTATCGTTAAAAACTGCTATAAGCAGCATGGGAGAGAGGACTTGCTCTACGCCTTTGAGGACCAGATCACCCCACAGCAAGTTGCCACAACAGCCACACACAGCATTGCACACCTAGTGCCATCACAGACCGTAGTGCAGACGATCAGTAATCCTGATGGAACCGTCTCGCTCATACAGGTGAGCTCAGGTCCCAGTTGTGGGAAAAACTGCACGGTTGTTTTTGACTACAGTATATACAAGATCCACTGGAGGACTTCATTTTTAATATAGAGGGAGATCAAAATATACAAAAATAACAAATATGTAATATTAAAGTCAACATGACATCAAATATTTACTGCCTTAATACATGTAATTGGTCTGACTGTGTATAAACTTGTGTATGTATGTATGTATATATATATATATATATATATATATATACACACACACACACACACACAAACAACCAACTGTTTTCAACATTGATAATAATCAGAAATGTTTCTTGAGCAGCAAATCAGCATATTAGAATGATTTCTGAAGGGTCATGTGACACTGACTGGAGTAATGATGCTGAAAATTCAGCTTTGCCATCACAGGAATAAATTACATTTTAAAATTTACTAAAATATACAACATTTATTTTAATTTGTAATAATTCACAATATTACTGTATTTTTTTTAAATCAAATAAATGCAGCCTTGATGAGCATATGAGACCTCTTTCTAAAACATTAAAAAGTCCCCACAATTTTAAAATGGTAAATTTTGTTATGCTAATAAGATATATAGTATATATATATATATATATATATATATATATATATATTAGGGGTGTAACGGTTCACAAAATTCACGGTTCGGTTCGATACGATACACTTGTGTCACGGTTCGGTTCGGTACGATTCGGTACGTTTCCGATACAGCAAAAAGAAAGAAATGCCAGAGAAATTTCCTTGATTTAATCTTTTTAATTATATTTTTATTAAAACTAACATCATAAAGTATGATATTTTTTAACTTTGAGCAATGATGGAGCTATACTTGACTTTTCTTAGGAGCTTATAAAACAAAACAGCTCCTTGGACAAAATTAAATGTAATATTGTAGTAGTTATAAACAAAGGTTTATTTTAGTTCAGATTAACATTTGAGGGCAGCAATTGTATTCATAATGTCAAAATAAAACCGACGTGATGTTACTTGAAAGCATTATAGCCTACTATTCCTGCCAAACTTCCATGGTTACAGTTAGTAGTGTTACTTCAGTAAACCCATGGTGAATGTTGCTGATCTGTGGACACTGGATAGTTCATTCATGGCACAATGTTTCTTCCTGGTTTCCACGTCAGCGCTGTTTGATCCGTTAATAACGGAGAAATGCGAATGTTTCTCACTAGATCTTGCAGCGATGTTATTACTTCAGTGGCGAATTCAAATGCTTTCTTTACTGGATTTGGCTGTGTAGTAACAGTGCTGATGATTATGATCGGCTCGCGCTGTATTTGTCCAAACTGATAAACGGTCCTTCAACCACACAATAACGGGTGGTTTCGTTCCGCTTACATTACATTTGCCATTTGATGTTGGGCAATGTTGTGGTCACGCACATTATGAGCGCGCTTGCCACGCGTGACGCGCCTTCATTTGAAATAACGAAATTTTGGTCGGCAGGAAAAATGGTCCAACGAACCGTTCGGTTAAAAAATGCGTACCGAAAACCGAACCGAAAGCCTCGTACCGAACGGTTCAATACGAATACGTGTATCGTTACACCCCTAATATATATATATATAAGATATTAAAAAAAAGTATTAAATTTACACCAGTGGTCACATTACAGTATCCTAACGTCCAAATTTGAACTAATCAAAAGGTTGGCACTGGAGCCACGGTAGCGACACTGGCAGATGCGTCAGAATTGCCAGGCACGGTGACAGTCGCCCAGGTGAATTACTCCACAGTGACAGATGGAGAGGTAATGTCAACTTACACTTGTGCATCTTGTGCATGTTCTGTCCTGTCCTTACACACATATACTGTACTTTTTTAGCGCATATCTCTCCCTTCACACCTATTATTGTTATTTCGTCTCTAAGGTGGAGCAGAATTGGGCCACCCTACAGGGAGGCGAGATGACCATCCAGACCACGCAAGCGTCGGAGGCCACGCAGGCTGTGGCTTCCTTAGCCGAAGCTGCGGTTGCTGCATCACATGAGATGCAACAGGGGGCAACTGTTACCATGGCACTCAACAGGTACTCATGGGAAGTAGAGGTGAAGCTGGGGTTGGGGAGAGAAAGAAAGGAAATACTGAACAGCAGCAGCATCTAGGTGCAGGTTTAAGTCCCCAGGGTCTTATTAACAGGCCTCACCTGAGCCTGTTCTCCTGTTTATCACAAGGAGTTAGCAGCAGCACAGAAATACAGGACAAGGGAACAATTGGATCATACTCCATTCCCACAACAATTAGGCTGAGGAGGCATTGTTTTCTGCTCAACAGTCTTCATTAAAGCAGTAAATCCACCATCAGTCTGCTTAGCACAGTCAGGACATCTACAAATGTGATCAAAAAAAGTCTACTAAAGCCCCGTAGCACTGTAAAAAGCCCTTTTTTTCAGTATCTCAAATGGAATCGGGATAGACAGTCTTTGGACTCTATTTGGATTGGAAGCCCATTTCTGCCACATAAGAAAAAAAAATCATGCTTTGTTTGAATTTCAAATTATAAAATAAAAACTCATGATCATGTAGTAAGTCATAATTTAGATTAAAAAGTCTTGTGACAAAAATTTGAGTTTTGTCCATTTTCTTTATCTCAGAATGTCAATTTTGGATATAATTATGACTTAGAAAGTTGAAATTATGACATACTGTTGTAATTGACTCAATTTCATCTTTTCATGTAATTTTTGAATGAATGTTATGACAGATTAGTATGTCATAATGTTTATTTTTTATATAATTATTATGACTAATTATGAAGTTAGATAAAGTCTTGTGATGAACATGTTAAAACATTTTGTCCAAATATGACTTTTTATCTCACAATTTTGACTTGGTGTCACTTTCAACTTTTAGTCAATTTCAAAATACTGTGTCATATTTTTGACTTTCATCGGTAACACTTGGTTGTGTTAAGAATAAACCACCAATTTATCTACCATACTTTTGTTGCATACAGTTACTGTAGACTACAACAGATTTAAACATGGATAAATGGTTATCAACAGGGTCGCTGAAAAGGACAAATGCAGAAGTTTCTTCATCTACAAGTAAGGATAAATCTTCAGCAATGCATGACATCAAAAAGACAAAAAAATAAAGGCTAAATTCAGTAGTGACTACCTAGCTAGTCTTCACATGTGTGGGAGCGGAGAACAAGCAGCTACCGCTCTGTTTCTGAAATTAAGCTTTTTTAGCTTTACACATTATTTGACCTGAATAAGCTTTACTTCAAGCCTGATCTCTGTTTGAGGCGTAGTTATTTTTAGCCTGACATGCAGTGCTTAGTAAATGCTAAGCAACATCAATCTTTGCATTAGGTGAGTCACAAAGATCTTAGTTTACAAGGTCTAATTGTTATGCCAGTCTCTTGAGGCTCAGCCAGGCCTAGTTCTAGAGGGTGCTAAGCACCCTCAAATGAAAGCAAGAGCACACCAGCATCCTCAGTTGAAGTTGTAATATTAGTATATTGGCGAAACAGATTTGGCAAACGTATTTGTGTTTGCGCTCTGTAGAGTGTAAAATGTTTCTATTTACAACGTGCTTTTTCAGTGTTGAGCAATGTAGCCAATCACAGACATATCTGTTGATTTTTTTTTTTTTTTTTAACTCAATGGCCAATCAGGGCTGTTTTAAGTTAGTCCGAATCCACTCACCGCTCAGTTTTTGTTCAGTGCTGAATTATGCAAGCTAGGGAATCCTCTCATTTTAACAAACAGAGTGTAGACACGATAGTGTAGAGAGCTTCATTGATTAACTGCCACGTGCACGCTGCAAATGCGGAATTCACTCTCGAAAATTGCAATGATTGACATAGTGACCATTGCAATGGACAGGACAAAAATCTGATATGTGCATTAAGGCTAGAGCACGCGATTTGATTCTGGAACCGGGCCTGGGCTTGGTTACCCATCTACTTATGTGTCAGAAATGGGCGTCCGTATTTTGGACATCTATCACGAGAGCAAGAAGAACTTGTTTAGGACAGTGGTTATCTTTTTCTGGTTCCTCTTGAGTGACTTCCTGCACTAGGGGGCAGTACACACCAATTCACATCAATACATCTTAAATCCTGTATAAAGCATTGCATGTTTATGAAAGCAGGGATATTGTGAGATTATTTCCTTAATTTACATCTGTGTGTTGCAGTGAAGCAGCAGCTCACGCAGTGGCGACATTAGCGGAAGCGACTCTTCAGGGCGGAGGACAGATCGTGTTAGCGGGAGAAACGGCGGCCGCAGTAGGAGCTTTAACTGGAGTTTCGGATGGCAGTGGTATGAACCCTTGCTCTATATCACAAGCATCCACACACTCTGTTCCAGCCTGACACTCAAATACATAACAAACAGGAAAGTGTGGGGTCGGCGAACATATGATGAAACTTCCCTTTCGTCATCACTCATCTAGTATGTGAGGGAACGTATGGGTCTCATGTAAGGTGTGTGAGAGCGTGAGGAAGTCCGTGGAGGTCTATTGTAATCCCCGGGGTGTTTGTTGGACAGATGGTGACTCCAGGTTCTACACATCTTGCTAATCCTCGCTTTGACTCAACCACTAAGCGCTCTGCATATGCACGGCACCCTCTAGTAGTGCTGCTTACACATGCATTAGAAGCCATTTTACAAACCAATAGCAGTGCTAATGTGTACTATAGGCATTCATTACTGCGTAGTGAAATGGCACTACACGTTTCCTTTTTTAGCTGCGATAAACTAGGTTAGATTGAAAGAAGCTAGAAAATCGACATAAGTTTGTATTTTTTCTCTTCTGACCATGACATCCTTCAAGACAAAGTGAAGTGCCACTTGCAAACCATTTCCATAATGTGACGCATTTCTGTGGAAAATTGTTGCAAGTTGATTTTGATTCAAGATAACAAAGACAAAGCATTTTTTAGGGATACACCAATATTACAATTCTTGCTGATGCAATAGGCCGATAAATCTTTTTTTTCTTGTTATGGCCAATAATAAAAAAATGACAAATCTAAATTCATTAACACTTTATAATAAGGTTCTGTTTGTTAACATTAGTTAACTACATTACATTGTATACCACTGAAAAATACTTCTAAATCATTTATTAATCTTAGTTTGTTCATTTAAACATTTCACAAAAGTTGTATCTGTTAATATACAGCTAACATGAACTAATAATAAACTAGCACTAACTAATGGGACTGTATTGTAAATGTTACTCAAAATTCTATAGTCATTTAAAATAATACACTAAATAAATTAACAATAACACTAAAACCTAAAATAATTAAAATGCTACAAGTGAATTTATGCAATAGTATAAGGTACAGTATGATAAATGGCTGTTCATTTTTGAGTATAAAGATTTCATTGTCTGCTGTTTCAGATCCATATTGGTTGGAGTAAAAGAAACTTGCTGAAAATAAATAATAGTAACTTTTAGCCTTCGTGATTTTGGCGTTCATATTAAACAAACTTAATTATAACAAATTATTAAATTCTAAAATGCATTCTTTGGATGGACATTCGGTTAGTGGCGTATGCTTTGTCGGCTATAGGAACATTCAATTAAAGATTCAAATTTAAAGATTAATATCATTCAATATCTACCGATAAATCAGCTGACAATCGATATGGTGCATCCTTCATTATTTATTTATTTATTTATTTCTAATATACACTGATGATCCGTTCAATAACAATAAGACCAAGAACATCCATTAAGAAAGTAAATGGGGTCCAAATTGCTTTAATGTTGATTTTAATGGGTAAAATGGCTCTGCTCAAAAGTTGGTCCAATCATACCTGCCCATTTCCCAGTGACCTATCGTACCTAGTGTCCTGGTTTACCCCATTGCCCCCATTGACCAAAGAGAAGCCCCCCCTCCTAACCCCCCAAGGAACCCTCTTAAAGGGCTTTGATCCTCTCCATTATCAGAGCATAGTCTAATCACAGAGCCAGCTGTCAGCACCGGGAAGCCCAGTCTATAAAACACACACACAATCTCACATGACATTAAGAGAATAGACAGGAGCAAGGGCTGTATTTAAACACAAAAGCTGATTAGCAGGCATTACAACCACATTTAAAGACATGGGCGTCAGGCCTTTCCCCACTCTTGGTATTAATATATGGGTAACACTTTACAATAAGGTTCCATTAGTTAACATTAGTTAATACATTAGTTAACATGTACTAACCATGAACAACATCTCTGTTCAGCATTAGTTAATATTTGTTAACGTTAACTCACACATATACTAATGCATCGATTTACGTTAACAGCACAATTAAGTTAACATTAGTTAATGCATTAGTTAACATGAACTAACCATGAACAACAACTCTGTTCAGCATTAGTTATTAATTTGTTAACGTTAACTCACACATGTACTAATGCATCAATTCACATTAACAGCACAGTTAAGTAACATTAGTTAACATGAACTAACCATGAACAACACCTCTGTTCAGCATTAGTTAATATTTGTTAAAGGGGTCATATAATGCCATTTTTGTACAAGCTAATATGATTCTTTAGGGTCTAAATTAAAAGTTTGTAATATACTTTAATTAAAAATTCTCATTAGTATTGTAAGAAAACAGTTATTTTACCTGGTCAAAAACAGCTCTGTTTTCAGCACGCCGTTTCAGTGCATATGCCTTTAAATGATCATGAGCTGTGCTCACTCCGCCCCTCTGTTCTGTGTACACCGTTTGTAACACAATAACCATAACGCGTTGTTCATTATAAATGTGGGATTATGAATTATATTGAGAACGTCGTACATAGAAAACATGCCGTAATGTACCCTGAGTGTAAACCTTAGACTCATTCATCGTGAAGCGTGCAAGCGATTTGCAAAGATATAAATATTAATATAAAGGTTAATAAAACGTTACACTCACTTCAGTTGTTCTAGAGGTTCAGCAGGAACACGAATATCTGGTACCGATCCTTTTTTCATGAGTAGCTTCTTAGCAAAACGAGCTTTATACTGACCCTTGTTTATAAAGCAGTCTGGTGAGAAATGATTCGCGCAAACATGAAAGCATTGACGTTGCTCGTGGGGAATATTCCCTTCGAAAACAAACTCAGCCACTGCGTCTTCAGCGGTTCGGATTTAGGAACATTAAAATGACTGCTGTGTTCGTTATTACACCCAAGAACAGAACACCACAATCGCTTAGACGCCATTCTGCTCATAGACAGTGCTCCAGCATATCAACAATGACCGCGCCGGTCCGCGCAGACTATGACAGCTGGCTCACGAGCGAGGGCGGGTCTGTGTTGAAACGCTGCTGTCAATCAACAATCGCGGGAGGGGCGTCCGACCGTGTGACGTCACACGGTCGAACGGCTCGATTTGAGGCAGGGGAAAACATATAAGGAGATTAAAACAAAAACACTGGATGGATTTTTATCATTATATGATGGTTGTGTACAGGCACTGCCAACACACATTTCAGTACAATCAACTTGTAAAAGTGCATGTACCATTATATGACCCCTTTTAACGTTAACTCACACATACTAATGCATCAATTCACATTAACAGCACAGTTAGTTAACATTAGTTAATGCATTAGTTAACATGAACTAACCATGAACAATGCCTGTAAATAGCTTTGCTGTTTTGTAAGGTTAACTTACTGTACATATTTACATTAGTTTACGTAGCAGTTGACACACACTAAGTATGAACATTTCTAACTCACCATGTTATCCTAAATGTAAAAATACTGTTGTGTACCTTATCAACACTCTTTTATAAGGCATTGATTTGTTGGTAAACATAATTCTACAGCGGAAAAATATGTTGTTCATGTTTATACGTACTTTACTATCATTACTTGCATTCAAATAAGCATTTATTAATGGATTGAGTGAAAAGTGTACACTATTTCAACATTAACTGATGTGTTACTAACATTTGTTTTCTGCTGTAGCATTATGTTTACCGACAAATCAATGCCTTATATGAAAGAGTGTTGATAAGGTACACAACAGTATTTTTACATTTAGGATAACATGGTGAGTTAGAAATGTTCATACTTAGTGTGTGTCAACTGCTACGTAAACTAATGTAAATACAGTATTATACAGTACAAAACAGCAAAGCTATTTACAGGCATTGTTCATGGTTAGTTCATGTTAACTAATGCATTAACTAATGTTAACTAACTGGGCTATTAATGTGAATTGATGCATTAGTACATGTGTGAGTTAACGTTAACCAATATGAACTAATGCTGAACAGAGATGTTGTTCATGGTTAGTTCATGTTAACTAATGGAACCTTATTGTAAAGTGTTACCAATATATGACCACTGCCGTTACATTTTTTTTCTTTTAATATTTTATATAATTGAATCGTTAAGTTTATTAGCAATTCTACATATGCATGAAATTATGTACTACATATTGAACTATACTTTTTGGTCCCGCAGCCTAGAGGACATTTTATACTCGCTATCTCTTGATTGACCATCTGTTGGCCTTTTTTCCCCCCTGCCATCTTTTTTATTTTTTGCAAATGAAGGAAAACTTGCTTTAAGAGGATGTCACTTTATATAACATTGTACACAAGGAACCTTTCTAGAGGAGGGCAGTACAGAGAATGCTAGTACGCCCCGTTTCCCACATACGTAACCGAGCATGTTGACTGTTCATCTGAACCAGCACCAGCAGTGAGTCCCGGAGAGCAACCTGTGCCCAAAACGAGGCCCTCAACGTTAAGCTGCGCAATTAAACCCAATTTACGCTTCAGCACGGGGAGGTTTTGGAGAGCGTAGTCAACAACAGACAGACACTTGACAGACAGCCAGTGTTTATTGACCTTATTCAATCAGCGAAATGGCAGTGCGGGTGCAGCTTTGAAGTGCCTGGTCTGAGGTAATCGTGACTGATTTATGTTTCCTGCTCCAATGCCCCTCTATCGCTCCGTAAGCCTTGTAGAAACCCTCGATGTCAGAGTGACTGAGGGGTTTGTAGGCTCTTCACTCAAAAAAAACAATGCTTCCAAACTCCCCGTCAATTATTGAGACACGATGTGATTAAGAGAAATTAGAGTCACTTGTATCCCATGTGGAGTAACTGATTTTTCCCTTTTTAAAGTGGTGAATCTCATAAAAACATGTTGATGTTTTTGTCAAAAGAAAAATATGTGTATATGTATATAAAAAAACATATATACACAGTGTGTGTGTGTGTGTGTAAATATATATATATATAAAGATATACTATTTAGGTATTATTTATATGAAGTATTTACATAATATAAAAATGAAAAAACTTAATTAAAATTGTGTTATATTTGAATTTACACTAGTGACAACTGAGTGTCATTATTATTATTTGTCATTTGTTGGTAACACTTTATTTTACAGTGTCCTTTAATTACTATAGTAATAACTATAAATGATGCATAATTACATGCAACTAAATCAAACCCTCATCCTAACCCTATAGTTAGTACATGTACTTGATTATTATTCCAGTACTTAAATGTCTAATTACACTGTAACAAGGATACCTTAAAATACAGTGTAACCTCATTGTTATAAGCACTTTCTAATTTAAAGTGAAAATACATTTATTTATTTGAATTTACAATCATTAAAAATGGGTGAAGAGCTTAATTATTATAGCCTCATTAATGCTTTTTTTTTTTTAATTGAACGTTTGTTTTTTTGACAGGTTTTGTAAGATTTGACCTAAGAATTCATTCAATTATTCTGCGGGGAACAAGTCAAAATCATTTTCCATGCCTGTTTAAGATGCATTTAAGCTCAAAACTGATCTACTTTTGTGTTAAGCTGCAATTAAAGGGAACATTTAGCTTGGGGAGATTGTGCCGGCATGAAAAGATAAAGTAACTGACAGCCTAAATGACGAGTTTGAAATATGAGCCTGCCTTTGAGACGCTGGGACAGAGTAGCATCGTGAGACTATTTTACTGCACACTTTTTAGAGAATGAAAACAACGCACAGAAGTCCAGCGGCCGGCAGGTACGTAACCGCAAGACTTTCTCGATGGGTTTACGAGCCACGGTTAGTTTTGACCTTTCGCTTTGCCCATATGAGCAGGTTGCTCGCCCTCCTGCCCCGTGTGACTGCAGCAGTAATCCAGGCTGCTCTGCTCACAGCTGGGCGGGGAAACAGAGGTGGATTGAGAAAGAGAGAGGGGTTTAACCTCGAGTCAGAGAGGGAGAGGGAGAGAAACGGAAGCTGGGAGTGGCCGCCTCAATTACTCCATTGTTCCGCATTGCAGTGTGATGCTCTAGCCCAGCCCTGGCCACGTAGCGTTCAAACTCTTAACATGGCCGCTCGATTGCGTACGCTCTGCGGCCTCATCCAACCGCACTTCAAAACTCCCCTCCCTCCCAACTGTCTCAAATGACAAGTTACGTGCATCCCAAACCACTATGCCGCTGTCTTCGCTGATGACATCACAGTTGTACTTTGTGCATCTTCAGCTAGATCTGTGAAGAGTGACCGAAATTAGTTTATACACACAGAAGTTGTCATATATGTAACGGGTGTTTGTGTCATCCCAGGTCTCGTCCAGATTCCAGTCAGCATGTATCAGACGGTCGTCACCAGTTTGGCCCAGGGAAATCGACCCGTTCAGGTGGCCATGGCTCCCGTAGCTACGCGCATCGACAACACGGTAACACTTGACGGACAAGCGGTGGAAGTGGTGACCCTAGAACAGTGACATACTCTACCCCTGCAGATGTGTGGGACAGGAAATTCAGCACCTATGTGAAGTGGCTGCTGGAGTATAGTGTAAAAATAATATTTGAACCTGTTCACATACGTCTGCAGGGGTTGGATGGCTTTTTCCTGTTAATATTATTATTATTTTTTTACATTGTACACAGTTCATTGTCTTACTTTTTTTTCTTTTTTTTTCTAGTGTTGTTAAATATGTTAACGTTAGTTAATTTTTTTTTAGCTGATGTTTGATAAATGTATTGCAACAAAAGAAATGTATCCTCAACAAAAGAAAACAAAATCAACCACATTTTCAGCCTTCAAAAACTGGCATAATTTGTTCCTTACTCCCCAGATAAGTCATTCTTGATATGTTTTCTCCTCAGTTTTTATCTAGGTTTATGTATATATATATTGTGAACCATCTTGTGCCATATTTGAATCATTTCATTAATATATTATGTGAAAATTGCATTACGATTTTAGTGTTAGATTACATTGACTACTGAGATGACATGCATGTTGTTGGTTTTTTTTTTTGCTTTTTTTGTCAGGATGTATAATGTAGAATTCTCTTTGTATGCATTTCACATTAATTCCCAATGTAAAAAAAAAATGGTATGACCTTGAATGATTGTGTGGTATATTGAATGAGACCACCGTTTCCTGTCGGTACAGAAGAACACTGGCGCTCAGTGCTGTCAATAGACTTTCACTGAATTGTACTATTAATCGATAACTATAAATGTCGACGACTTACCAGTGACAAGGCTGAAGATGTAGCACTCCGTATCGTTCAACTTTTATACTTCAGATAATGAACAGACTTTACATATTCATGGTATATTAGCATTTTAGAAACTGATCTTGTTTTGAAACTGCTGGGGAAAATGTTTTATTTATTTTTTTATTTATTTTTCTTTAATGTTTTTGGTTAGACGTGCACTCATATCTTTAGATTAACACAAAATCACACATTGAAAGAGCTCAAGATATGATACAGGGCATATTTTGAATTTTGATGTTATTGCATATATTGCAAAGAACCATAAATTCATATCTCTTTCTTTATCTGCAAATGTGTGTGTGTGTGTGTGTGTCAAATATGGATGTTTTGTTACTGTTAATCACCTCTTCCACTCATAACCCACTCTGTCAAGTTTTCTGCTCCTGGTCGGTTTGAATTTTTATACTTCTGTAAGACTTCACACAATGAGATCTTTTTATGTAAAATATGTAAAATATAAGGTTGATGAAACCGAGCTCTCCCATGTTGCCGGTGAAAGAATGATGGTAACATTCACAGAGTTTGTCTTTCCCTTTTTATCCAGTCTTGGAAATAAAGTGGCCACTATTCAGAATTGTGTTTTTGAAAATTATTACAGAAATATAATCATTGCTGACACAAGGAAAGTGCTTTAATGCTTTAATAATAATTCAAGTACTAGGCATACATAATAAAATATTAAAGACCGGTTTCTGATTATAACAGTTTATTAAGGAAATTCATTTTGCTGTTATAGTTCATTATACTGCAATATCAAAAGTTTATAGTTGGCCTCAAAGGGAGCTGTGCAGTGGGATCAACAGGTTTTTAGCACAACTGGAAACACTGTATTGACCAATTGTCATTCAGAACTATGAGCCATATTGCACTAACACCGTCATAAATCCCAAAATCTGAGAATAAATCCAATGTGGAAGTTAGTCATCTGCGTGCATTTAGATGCCACCTGTCTTATGTCAAGGTCACTAGTCACTTGTTTTTATGAAGTTGAGTAATCTCATCACGAAAACTCCATGACCTCTTTACAACAAAACACATGGTCACATCCGCACCCCCCCCCTCCAGCTTGTTGTGATGGATGGGGCTCCTGTTGCATCATAAGCCTTGATCCCTCCCTCCTGGCTAAAACCTGGATTTAAGGCCCGTGTCCTTCTGCCGAGGGAGGAGTAGGGACACGCACTAATCCATCAGGCACCGTACACATCCCAGCGGCCCACTCCACTTCCAGATTATCAGCGTGGAAGTCCACGATCGGAGAGATATGAAGCATGCGACTGTCTAATCCCTATCAAACCACATCAGTTCTGAACAGAGCAAAGTGAGAGGGACACGTTAAGGGAAGTGTGTATACTATCCGCGTATAAGGGAGAGCGAGGACTTGTGTGTTTGTGGTTTCCAGGTCATGGTGGCAGCTGGCAGGAGATGTTCAGTGCACGCGTGCGTCAGTCGTGAGCTGCAGATTAAGGCACTCTTATTAGCACGCTTTCTGAGAATCGGCCCTGGTCCCGCCCTCATCCCGACCAAGTGCTCAGCCAATCTGTTCCTCAGTCGGGGCCGTGTTCACAGAACAGCGTTCAGCTCTAATCCGAATACATAACCACAATTCTATCTTAACATCAGAGCGTTACGTGCCTGATTTAAGTGTGATGTCACTCGTAAAATCACTGACAAGTGTAGTGCAATCTTTGATACTTATTATGTAACTAGAAAAAAACTTCTTTAAGGCTTTTGTATTTTTTTAATAAATTAAATTATTAAAACATTTTACTATGCAGTTTCATGAAATTTTACGTTTTACAGCATTTATTAATCTATGCTAATGTTAATTTAAAAACATACTGTTTATTTTTAATTCATCTTGATTCTTCAATGATAAAACATTAAATGTTAATTTTGTAACCTGAAATAGCAAAAGTAATAAATTGTTCATCAATATAATTTTATTGTAAAGTGTTATTTTTAGTGTCGATGTTTTCACTCATACTATACTGTGAAGCTAAGTTGAATTAGAGGGAACTATTGTTTTAATGTTTTAATATCAGCATTTAAATTTCCAATGTGATTTTAAGACTTCACTGTATATAATATGTAATGAGTTACTAGAATATACTGGGTAGTAGTAGGAATATACCATAACTCGTGTCATATAGCTCATGATAACCTTTATTTTGAAAAATTTTAATCCAGTCAACACCCTACACTTTTGTCCTATCAATTTATGTTATTTTAAAGAGAATAGTGGGGTTTTGTCCCTCTCTTTTTTTAACATATTTTTGCGAGTTTGTTTCCTATCACTTGTTCCCCATAGATAAACTTTGTGATTTGTGTAATCAGCTAAAACTGGCGTTCAATAGGCAGAGGAGAAAGCTTTGCTAACGCAAGCAAGCCAAAGTAACTTATTGCACCGTCAGTCTCAGAGCTGTAAATGTATAGGCATCCTTATTAGTTTTATCTTTTTATGAAGGTTGCCATTATAGACAAATGGTAATAGCCGTCTGGTGGTATTGTGTCATCAGGGGAATATGGGGCAGAAGTATTGATTGTGTTAAGGAGAGGATATGGCTCTCCGCAGGGGGTTGTTCCTCCAGCCTGGAGCTCCACAAACTCTGGGGCAGAGCTTTAATCTCTGCTAATATCTTAATACACACTGCATCCCTCTGGCCCTCTCTCTTACACACACACACACACACACACACACACAGGCGTTCATGTAGCAGTAGCTCTGAACTAATGGATTATCCCCTCTACTAAACCCAGCCTACCTGTCTGTCTGCCTGTCAGTTTATTAGGAAATTTGGTTTGCACAGGTGCCACACATCACACTAATACACATATAAACATTCAGAACAAATACATTATAAGAACATGAATAAAAAAAGTAAGCAAAATACATTTTCCTCCAAATTGCTCTATATCTATGGCCTGATGGGAGGACAACAAACACCTTGTATAATGGAAGTGATGGACAGTTAATTATCGAATAGGCTTTTTTTAACAACACGTTCTTTAAAAATGTCTGTTGAACTCCTATCACCTTGGAGGCGGTCTTAATCAGCTTAGTCATCATCTATCTATCACTTTTATTACACTTTCATCAATTTTCCCACAAAGCAAAACACTACTGTGAATAAAACTGCACAGATGCTTCCTGAGGATATATTATTCCCACCACCATCATCATCACTTTCTAACATTGATGATGTTCTCACCATCATACGCACCTCGGCATCAGACAGTGCGTAAGAGAGATGGACCCTAATCTCATTCCACTAATGCTCTCTTTACATTAGAGTACCGAGTTCTGTCTCAGCCATGCTCTTTCTTTCACTCCTAACCAGGGATTATTCACTGAATGAGAGGAGTAGTCGGTACAGAGGAGGGGGCCGGGGAAAATGCTGTGTAACCCGACCCGGCTGGCCCATCTGGAGAAGGCCCACATGGACAGAGATTTCCCACAAAGCAATTACTGCAGCCAAAGTTTCGGCAGGAATCTGACAATGTTCCTTTCTTCTCCCATATACGCGTATTTACTTTGGATTTTCTGACGTAGAGAGGTAAACACAGGTGAACAGCAATAGCAGAGAGATACTGAGGATAATGATAAAAAAAAAAAACAATGGAGAAAGCTACGACTAAATGAATTGAATGGGATATTGCAATGCATTTGGAAGTCTACACAACTGTTATAGATGCAAAAATGAGTCTAAAAAGGGATGAAACCACTATAGTGGGTCACATATTTTCTTCAATGACCAATATGTACACCATTTCCTTTTTAACTGCTCCTAAATAATGTATGAACATAAGTTCTCTAACAAATTCTCCATATTCTTTATAATGAAAATTAATCTTTAGTCGATGAGGTTCAGATTTAGTAACCAAAGTTCACCAATAAGAGACCTGAAGAGAGTGGAACTAGACACTAGAAATAGCATTACGCTTCAATGATGGCTAATGTTTTCATTTCATGTCATTCATTCTGTATGAATAGATTTATGCAAAAGGAGATAAAGAGGACTTAATCCAGCAATCCTCTCCTCACCTACATTAGCAGCCATTGACCCAGATACAGGGCAGCCTCTCCCTTTACCAAGCGACAAAACACAAGCTGTTTCACACAAATGCCACACCACTTCTCCAAGAGCCGTGTTTCATTCAGTCATTGTTTATTTATTTCTTTATTTTGCGCATGAATATGAACATCTGGTTGGTTTCCATTGGTTTCAGTAGACTTTGATTAGTAACTTATAACACACAATTTAATGCCATATTTTGGTTAACACAGCCCAAAAAAAGAGAAATAAGTCTTATATGTGCATTATGAGATACACAATGAAATGAAAGCCAAACATGGCCGACTAGTATCAGCAAACAGTTTGGATCAATGAGCGAAGCATCAGGAGCTTTGAGACTGTGGTGCGCA